AGGAGTGATCCTTAGTGGGGTACTCCTACAAGGTGAAGCTAAGTTGTCTCCAGTACAAGTACAACTTCCACCCGTTGAACGGTTTGCCTACTCGAGGATGTGTTTTTAAGGGCACGGATAGAGCTTCCGACCGCCCCTTAATTTCATTGACCCTCCACACGAGTTGAGGAAAAGGAGTTAAAATAAGTACCCTGGCGAGCGCCAGGTGTACAAAAATTGCTCTTGCTCGACTAATAAGGGTCGCCGTGCAAAAGACTGCAGTTGGAACCCCCGCCAAGTGAATGAAGAAAAAACAAGAGAAAAAGAAATGTAAATGAAAGTGCAAAAAGGGGTTCCAACGGTGAAATGAAGTGAAAGAGCACCCCGGTACAACGAGTCCTTGGTTGTGAATGGTGTGAGTCCCTTTATCCATGAACTGGCTGTCTTACTTCCACTTCTTCTCATGATCCTGCTTGAGTCTAGTACTCGCATTGAGAGAGATAGGGAACATCTTAGAAGACCAATTGACCTCGTAAGCTGCTATATGATCTAGAAAATACTCTACCGACGATCGCGGTTGTTTGTTTCTATAGAGGTCTGGAGAGCTGCATTGGTTTGAGTTAGGTTTGCTTGGGGACAAGCAAACGGTTAAGTGTGGGGGGATTTGATGACTCGATATTTGCACATGTTTTCCCCTTTGTTTCTTGATCGTTTAAGCTTGAATTATCGCTTTTTTGGCCTATTTTATGCTAGGTTGTGTTCCTTTGTCACATTTCAGGTCCTAGCATGTAAATTGAAGCATAGGCGCAAGTTTCAAGTCAATCAGAGATCATTTGGCAATTCGGGAGAAGAAACATGAGCATGACATGAGGAATAATGGACTTGTACCTCATATTATGGACAAATAATCATGTAATTTTGTCATGAAAATAAATAGGACGAGACTACGAGCGTCTGGGATCAAACGGCGACTGATTCGGAGTCCGGACGAGGGAGAAACGAAGCATTAAACAGAGGCTGAGCAAGCCACACTAGCAAACCTAAGAACCCACACGGCCGTGTGACCTGGCCATGTGGCCGTGTGAAAATCACCGAGCCTTCACACGGGCAGCTGGGAAAGCCACACGACCGTGTGGCCTGGCCGCGTGATCGGGAATTTCTGGTTAAACCCCGATTTTCAGCCAAAGGAAAAGGGAGAGCTGGGTTTTTGGTTCCCAAACATCCAAGGGACGAACCCTAGAGAGAGAGAGAGAGCGACTTGGGAACATTCTTGGAGCTATTTTGGAGGATTTCTTCGCCATTGGAGCTCGGGAATCAAGCTTGGAGATGGAGATTGAAGATCTAGATCAGATTTCTGCAGTCTCTCTCTTCTCTATGGAGTAACTTCCCTTCACTTAGGTTTTGAGGAACCCTAGTTCCATGTGTTAGGATCTTTCTTGTATGAAGTTTTGGATGCTATATTGTTTGATTATAATCGATTGAGGCATGATTTATTGAGTCAATTGAATCTTGATCAAATTCTCTTAATTTTGCTTTAACCTATGATAGATAGAATCTGATTAGGTTAAGAGAGCTTCCTTGATTGATAGTGGTGAATTGGTTGTGCGAGAGTCAATCAATTCACTACTTTGTACTGGAATTCATTCCAGTAGTGGAGATCTGTGTGAATCGCCTTAGCAGTCTATCCCGGTGAAGGCTAGTCACTTGCCGGGTATTCTGCCTAAGAGGGCTTGGTCAGCTTAAGAGATTCCAAGCTAATTTAGGATCTTCCGCAGTTTAATCATCGGTAGATCAACCAAAGGTAATTGCAACTTGGACCTAATTGAGGAGCTAGGGGGAATCATACCTAAGTGAGTGCCCAACTTGTAATTAGTAGAGTAGTCAGTAGAGTAGTTTATAAATCAATCCTTAATCTAGTTTGCTAGATAATGAACTGAAGCTGAGTATAGTAACTCTAGAGACTCATGGATTCGATATTTATTACTTGTGCCACTATACTGCAGTCCCTTTCATTGGTTACACTTGACCATTGTTAGGTGTTGTGTTTTAGCGTGTCAAGGGTGGCCATAATAAAACAAATCAGAAGAGCTTTGGAAGACCCCAAGCCCAAAAACAAGCACATGGTGCAGGGAACCTGATCCCGTTCGGGTAATAAATGAGACTATTGTGCTATAACTGCCGTGGACTGGGAAACACACGAGCAGTTAGATCTTTAAAGTCGCTCATGCGACAAGTTTTCCCCCCGGTTGTATTTCTGATGGAAACAAAACAACTTCGGGATGAGAATGAACAGACTCGTTTGGAGCTGGGGTTCAAGAAGGGAAAAAGCTGGCCCTGTGATGTATTGAGAGGAGGAAGGGCAGGGGGTATTTCTATGTGGTGGTTGGAGGATATTGGTGCGACTGTGATGGGTGAATACTCAAATTTCATTGACTTGAATATTGAGGAGAGGATGGAGGAGATATGGGGATTTATGGTTGGCTAGAGAGCCGGGATAAACACCGAACGTTGGAACTTATTCAAGATTTAGCTCAAGAGTGGTCAGGTCCTTGGATTGCGGTGGTGATTTTAATCATATAATGACTGATGCATAGAAGAAAGGGGGGAACCCAGGGCGGGAAGCGGAGATGAGCGCCTTTGCCGACTGTTTGGCGACTGTGGGCCTTCAAGATATGGGTTTTAGAGGCTACCCCTTCACCTGGGAGAACCGTAGAAGAGTGGGAGGGTACATCGAAGAACGACTTGACTGTTTTATCGCTAATGAGGGCTGGAGATTATCGAAACCAAAGGCGCGAGTCTCTCATCTTGATCTGTTGAAGTCTGACCATCGCCCTATCATTTGTGATACGTTGGGGGGAGGAGGATGAGCAGATTAAATGGGGATGGAAGTTTCGTTTTGAGCATATGTGGGCTAAGCATGAGCAGTGTGCGGAGCAAGTGGAGGAGGCTTGGGTTTCGGCTGTTGGGAATGCCATAGAAAAGATGGGTGTGGTACAAAACAAATTGGATAGCTGGAGTCGCAACACCTTTCCAAATTTTCGAAGGCGAAAGGAGAAAATTAGAAAGGCGTTGAAGGCTTTAGAGTGGCGAGACAAGACCGAGCAAGTGCTCCAGCAACGACAAACTTTACAGTTAGAACTCGAGGAGCTTGAATGTGATGAGGAAATTTTTTGGTAGCAACGTTCTCGAACATACTGGTGTCGAGAGGGTGATAAAAATACCAACTTTTTTCATCGCAAGGCTTCCTCGAGACGTCGGCGCAATACAATTCGGAAAGTTCAGGATGAGACGGGCGCGTGGTGGCGAGGAACTGAGGAAGCACTAGTGTGTTTTACTAATTATTACTCACTCTTTTTTCCGCAGGGGAAAGGCCGGGATTAACTCCAGTGTTGGATTCGGTGGAGGCCCGAGTTAATGAAGGGATGAATGAAGGTCTCTTGAAGCCATTCACCAGGGAGGAGCTATATGTTGCTCTTTGACAGATGGGGACAAGGAAAGCTCCGGGAGTGGATGGGATGTCGGTACTTTTTTTCCAAAAGTATTGGTACATTATTGGAGATGATGTGACACAGATGCTGCTAGGTGTGGTGGAGAATGAAGTCATGCCGCAAGACCTGAACTATACACTGTTGGCCCTAATCCCTAAGGTGAAAGAACCAAAGTCGGCAAAGGAGTACAGACCAATCAGCCTCTGTAATGTGATGTATAAGATGCTCTCGAATGCTTTGGCGAATAGATTGAAGTCGCTCCTGGATAAGATTATATCCCCGGAACAAAGTGCTTTTGTTCCAGGTCGCTTTATCGCTGATAATGTGATGACAACCTTCGAGTGTTTTCACACGATGAAGAAGAAGTCGAAGAATAAGATTGGATATATGGCGGCAAAAACATATATGGCAAAAGCGTATGACAGAGTGGAGTGGTGGTTCCTGGAAGGTGTGATGGAACGTTTGGGGTTTGCCACGAGATGGATCAGACTCATCATGATGTGTGTTAAGTCAGTGTCTTATTCGGTTGTGGTTAACGGTCACAGATCGTAGCGTTTTGTGCCGAGTAGGGAATTGCGACAGGGAGATCCTCTCTCTTCGTACCTTTTCCTACTGATAGCCGAAGGTTTGTCCTACTATACGAACTTGGTGGTCAGACCGAAGAAATTGCACGGTCTATCGGTGTCCAGGGGTGCCCCGGTGATCTCTCACCTTTTCTTTGCCGATGATTCCATCTTTTTTGCAAGGACAACGAAGAGGGAGAGTCGGGAGGTGAGACGAGTATTTGAAGACTACCAGAAGGAATCAGGTCAGATGGTCAGTTTGGAGAAATCAGAAGTAACTTTCGGAGCTAATGTTAAGCCGCATCAAAAGCTGGTGGCTAGCTCTGCTCTTGGTATGAAGATAGTAGACAAGCATGATAAGTACTTGGGCCTCGTAACTGAGGTAGGGCGCTCAAAGAAGGCACTTTTTGTTTACTTAAAAGATCGGATCCGACAGAAGTTGGCAGGGTGGAAGGAGAGATCGATGTCCGCCGCCGCGCGTGAAGTACTGATTAAGTCAGTGGCACAAGCGCAGCTAACTTATACTATGTCCGTTTTTAAAGTTACTGATGGTATACTTGATGAAATTCACGGGCTGATCACACGTTTCTGGTGGGGACAACGAGGGGAGGAGAGGAAGACCCCATGGGTGGCGAGGGAGGCCTTGATTTGTACAAAGGAGCAGGGCGGCATTGGCTTTAGGGATTTAAAGGGTTTCAACAAAGCTTTGTTGGTGAGGCAACTCTGGCCCCTCTATCAGCGCCCGGAGTCCCTCGTAGCAAGGCTAATGAAGGCGAAATGTCATAAGAATGACAGTGTTTTGGAGGCTCGAGTGGACTACCAGCCTAGCTATGTGTGGCGGAGTTTAATGAGTGCTCAAGAGTTCCTGGTGGATGGTCTAAGGTGGCGGATTGGCAATGGGGCATCGGTACGCATATGGGAAGATCGCTGGTTGCCGTCGACACCAAACTACTTTGTAGAATCACCGCCGATGGGGCTACCGGTGGACGCTGTGGTAAGAGAATTGATCGACGAGGAGGAAGAGAAGTGGGATGATACCCTTTTAGAAAGTTGTTTTCCTACCAGCATGGCGCAAGCCAGCAAACAGATCCCTCTATGTTCTCCAGAAGATCCAGATCGGCTGACTTGGGCGGATAGTGTAGATGGGCAATATACGGCCAAGGAGGGTTATAAGGTGTGGTTGAGGAATTTCCAAAGCCAGCATGAAGAGCGAAGTGTGGGAGATCCGGCGCTATGGAAGACAGTCTAGGCTCTCAAGCTGCCACCGAAGGTAAAAATATTTTTATGGAAATTTACAAGAGAGGCATTAGCCACTGGTGAAAGGGTGAATAAACGAAACTCGCAGCAAAGTGGTGTGTGCCCGTTCTGTGACCAGTTGGAGACACAAGTGCATGCTTTCCTCGAGTGTCCATGGGTGAGTAGACTATGGCGGCACTCGACAACAACTCCTTGTTTTGAGCTGCGGGCAAGCCTTAGTTGCATGGACTGGGTACGAAAGGTTATAGCCACAGTAGAAACAAGTGTACTAGAAGATTGGAGTGTTCTGTTGTGGGCATTTTGGAGGGAGCGCAATGCTCATCTTTTCAACGGGAAAAAGATGGAGGAAGGAGACATAGTCCCCAGAGCACGGGCGTACCTGGACGAGTATCGGCAGCAACAACAGCCCAACGATCTTGTGTCAGCGCCTCCTGCTATCGATCCTGGTTGAGGCCTCCGCTGGGAAGGATCAAAATAAATACGGATGCGGGTATAGATGTCGAAGGAGTAGGGCTGGGAGTGGTAGCAAGGGACCATAATGGAACTTTTATTTTGGCAGGGGTGAAGAGAGTTAAAGGGATTCGTGACCCTACTTTGGGTGAGGCGATGACAGTCGAGTTTGGTTTGCAACTTGCTAGACGTCACCAGCTAGCTACGCCCTTTGTGGAAACTGATTGTTTAAGCGTGGTCAACAGTTTGGAGAAGGCAGACGAAGTTCACACAGAGGTTGGGACGGTTCTTAGGAGTATCATGAGGTTGGTGGCGATGACATGCGTCGGGCGTGTGATGCATGTGAGTAGACAGGCAAATGAAGCTGCACATATTATGGCTTATACGAGAGCAAGATGGGATATAGCGGATGTTTGTTTTGATAGGCCACCGCTGAATCTGTTGGATCAGCTTGTAAGTGATAATGTAACACAGCACAGGTTCCCACTTAATAAAGCTGAATAGCAGGTTTCGATAAAAAAAAAAGACTAATTTTAATAATAAATACGAACGAATGTGTCGTAATTTTGTTCACCCCTACTCCGCCGGATCTGTACGGCTGTACCGTCGTAGTCTGTCGAAATGTGAAATATTCTCCATAATCTACATTCGTTTAAACCCCTCCTAGAACCCTCAATCGCCGTCCCGCCATTCATCCACTGCGCCCCGTCGTCGTGATTTCCGCTTCCTCAAAATGTCCAATTGACAATTTCTCCTCGTCTCCTGCCATCACTATGCCCACTATTCAAACACATTGCTATCTCCCCAGTCCCGGCTTCGTCTCCAGGCGCTCTCTACTTCCCGGAGCTCCAACTCCAATTGGGCATGGGTCTTTGGGTTTCGGGTTCTCCGCCCCTTCCCACAGCGTTAAATTCTCCTTCCCGGCAGACTCCTTCGGCAGGAAAAGTAGTTCTTTCGGTTCTGATAAGGGCAGCGCCAACGGACAACGGCGGCGGCGATGTGGGACGGTCAGGGCCGCTGGGAGAGACCACTACTCGACCTTGAACGTCGGCAGGAAGGCCTCGTTGCAGGAGATCAAGAGTGCCTACAGGAAGTTGGCTCGTAAGGTGAGTTTGCTGCTTTCTTCTGGGATTGGCATTTTTTTTTTTAATTTGCCTCTGCTTGAGAACCATTGATGGTTTCTACGATTCGGCTAGGATTTTTAGTATCTCATCTCAAAGATTTGTCTTTAAACAGTATCATCCGGACTTGAACAGGGGCCCTGGAGCAGAAGATAAATTCAAAGAGATTAGTGCAGCGTACGAGGTAATAGCTCTTTCAGCTACTGTTGGTGCTTTTACGTTGTGATTAGTTTTCATGGTAATTGGTATGAATGAAGCATGACAGCTGGTTTGATTCATCTCAATGAGCTAAGTCCATAAGTACTTTCATTGTTCGTAGGTCCTATGTACATGCGTTTCTTGATCTGTTTTCTGTTGCTAAATGTTGCTTCTTGCAACCTGTTATTCTTAGCTGAGTGCCAATGAGTTCCTGCCTGACCAATGGGGCATGCCAAGTTTAGAGTATTTTAGGAATTAGCATTCCAGCTTTTGTAGGTGCTTGGAACGGGGTAGCAATTATGCAATTGCCTGTAATTGCACCTGTCATGTAATCCTTTTATTTTGGATTTCCTAATGAGGCAATTGTGCAGGTCCTTTCAGATGACGAGAAAAGGTCTGTGTACGATCGTTTTGGAGAGGCAGGCTTACAAGGGGAATATGATGGATCAGCTGCTGGTTCTCCTGAGGTAATGATCTATTCGACTTCATTTTCTCTTTGTGGCTCCAGACAAATGTATCTCTCGTGAATGTAGCAACTCAACTCTCGTTCTGTGATACTTTTTTATTGAGTGAGAATTTACTTCTTAGAGTTTGTTGTGTACTACTAGCTGCTCCATACATGTATGTGGACTCACTATATTATCATTTTTTCAGATGGATCCGTTTGACATATATAACACATTCTTTGGCGGTTCAGATGGGATTTTTGGAGGAAGGGATGGCGCTGGTGGCTTTGGTTTCAATTTCAGACATACGGCAAAGCAGGACCTTGACATCCAGTACTGTATCTCAGCGTGACTTATTTCTTTAAATAATGACATCTTAAGCCAAATTCGTGATTCCTCGATATATATATTCGGATCTTTATTTGCTGCGTATTTCTTCAAACCAAATGGCTAGTTAACATGTTGCTGGTCATTTCTTTTCTCATAGATAGCTCTAAAGCATGACATAATTTTTGGTAGAGAAGTCTGGTTTTATTAATAATTCTTGAACCAAAAATGATTTCATGGATTAGTGCAATGGCATACAGTCTCTCAGGATAGGTGTCCCATTTTGGATTTGGGTGTGTGCGCCTGCTGTGGGAACTTTATTCTTGGCTGCTTCAACAAAGAACTGGGCTTGTACTATCCTGTTGAATAAGTATTGCGAAGTGGTTCAGCTCTGTGTTTGTTGAAATTGATCTATTGGTTACTCATTTTCTAGTTAAAGAATGAAAGAAACCTCAACTAGTGCAAATTATGATATTAAACTCACTGGAACTTCCGCATAATTTTGCTCTCTTCTGCCAATTTTATAGACTTTTTGAACCTTGCTTTTGCAGCTGTTCTTTTCTTGTTCTACAAAATTATGAATGCATCTAATCCCGTTGCACTTTAGGTGTGACTTGTTCTTGAGCCTGGAAGAATCTGTTTTTGGAGGAGAACAAAATATTGAAGTTTCTGGTTTTGAGACTTGCGGAACCTGTGATGGAACGGGCGCCAAATCTAGTGATTGTATAAAATCTTGCACAGGATGTGGTGGTAAAGGGGGTGTTATGAAAACCCAAAGAACTCCTTTTGGAATGATATCACAGGTAACTTGACATGTTGGTCCTTGCTTATTGATTCAGTACTGTTATTTCTTACATTTGTTATCTTTATTGTGTGCAGTTCCTTTATTGTTTCTTTTTTCCTTTGGGTATGTTGCCTTTGGACCAATGCTAGGGGAGACATAGGACACAATGAGGAACTGATTGCTTGCCCTCAATAAAACTAACTAGTTTTTAGCTTTTTTTCATTGTTGTTGTAATCATATTCAGTAAATTATCCTTTCAGGAAAAAGAAAGAATTCCTTCCACTTTGTAACCGTACATTTCTTTTTGCTTCTGGATGTCCGAAGTTGACACCTCATGGTTGTGACCAATTCCAATGGGCAATGGGTGTATATTCATTTCACCTCTTGCTGTTCTTCATGATAAAACCATCTCTAGCTAAAGTTGTATCCAACTCTATTCTTTCTGAATATATGAGTATGGTGATGATAGATTATGATGTCAGGTATCTACTTGCTCAAAATGTGGCGGGAAGGGCAAGGTAATCACTGATTGCTGCCAAAGATGTGGTGGCAGTGGCAATATAAGTGCAAAGCGGCAAATGAGACTGAATATCCCGCCTGGTGTCAGCAATGGATCCACAATAAAACTTCGAGGAGAGGGAAATTTTGATAAGATGAGGTATATTTGAATGGATATTTGTTTACTTGGAGTTTTGTCTTTGCTATTTTCCACCCACTTCTGGTATGCTTATTTATTTAATTTTTCCTCAGAGGCTTTGCTGGCAATCTGTATTTAAACATCCATGTCAATGAAAAGCGTGGAATTCAGAGGGATGGTCTCAATCTATACTCGAAGATCAATATTGACTACACCGAGGCTATACTGGGGGCTGTATTAAAGGTATGGAATGCTATTTGTATTTCACTTTATCAGGGATTGCCACCTTTTATCATACTGACAAGTGAATTACTGGCCTGATAAGTTAGAGATTGACATAAGGATTAAAAATTCAGGTGGAAACCGTCGAAGGTGCAAAAGATCTGCACATTCCTCCTGGAATTCAGCCTGGTGAAACCGTAAAATTGTTGCGCCTCGGGGTTCCAGACATAAATAAACCTTCTGTCCGTGGTGACCATCACTTCACTGTCAATGTTTTGATCCCCAAGTATATCAGGTGGGTACTCAAAACTGTTTGCGCTCTTAGGGTCTTGTAGTAACGTGCTTCCAGCTCCATATATTTTCTTCTGTGGCTCTCAAGTTAGAGGGAAATAAGCCAGTCATGTTTATCAGTTGCTACTCTTTACCCGAATTGCTGATTATTGTAATATCCTGGTAATGGCAGTGACAGAGAAAGAGCACTTGTCAAAGAATTGGTGTCATTCAAGTCGTCTAGCAAAGCCAATGACACCTCCTCTGACAGCTCTGGTACTTCATATTTAGTTCTTTTTTTCAGTTTGAGGTTGTACTTTTTTTCCATATCATGTTTATGCTTACTAGTGAAGTGGAAGAGACCCGATGGAAAGTGGTAGAGGGTAATGTAGAGTTATAAGGAATTTCCTTATTAGTCATACCACACGAAGGGTTAATGTAGAGTATAGAATTCCCCTGCAACTCACTCTAATCTACTTAAATAAACTAAATGTAAAGGAGCATAAAGATCAAACCAATGTCCCTAATAGTTATATTGGTTTTATATCTAGTTTCACCAACGAACGAGTGACTTACCTTTTCTTTCAGGGACATTCAAAGGAAATGCCAGGAGAGACAGGACTCAAAGGTCCAAAGGTGTTGCATCAGTTTGGGGCACAATCAAAGACTTCATGGGGTATTGTCTCAACAGCTTGCCTTTCTACTTTTGCACACACTTGTCCAGCCAAGTTCCTAGAATCATTGACATACTATTATTTCATTGAAATATGAGTGGTGGCCTATAACATGTTGTTGCTCATAAATGTTAGTTGCACAACTTGCATTTTCAGCTTTCTGGCAAAGACATGAAAGATTGAATAACAAGTCTCTTGATGAACTTTTGCAGGAAAAGAAGGGATCAACAAAGATTCTCATCAGTTACCCTCAGCACACCACCATTGACATTGGCACGAAGTTCAGAGTTGCCCATCCAGGTTTCGATACTGGGAGTCGTGCTGCTGACAATTTTCTTGACATTCACACGGCGAATTAACGAGATGAATGCGAAGAAGCAGTAACAAACATGTATCGAAAAGATGAAAGCGACATGGATATTGGTCTTCCCAGATGAACTAGACATTTCGCCAGTGCGATCAACGAAAAAATTCACCCTTGCCCCCCTGCTTGCTACATGAGCTGCCAATTAGGTAATCAAACATCCAAACTGAATTAGCAAACTTTTAGCTTGAAACCGTCTTGTGAGTTGTGAGCAATTTTGACTTGCTAGTTTTAGAAAGCAGGGAAAGTGAGGGACAGACAGCACTGGCACCAACACCCAAATACGGTTGAATTAATGGTGTCTAGTCTAGGTCCCCCATCCATAATGAGTATATCTGATCTTTTTCACAGCAGGAATCGGCTAACAGTGTCTCGTGCTGAAAGTGAAAGCTTTTCATATTTTGTTGTGGTAATGTTAATTTCTTGTGAGATTGTGGTTATGGGGGCGACAGCTCGTGGGGGGTGCTATTATGATTTTGTGAGCATCCTCCAGCCCATTGCCAAGCACTATAGTGGTTGACAAGGTGTAGTGACACTCTGTTTATTTATCATATATTGGTCGGCTATATCTCTAGCTGTTGCTGAGATTTTGCCTTGGATGTTAAAACTCTTTGAGGTTTATCATCTGAGTTCAGGATTTGATCAAATGGTTTCACCTATGTGAATGTTTTCTTAACAGGGTACCTCGCTCGTGCAGACCTCTTCGTTGATATACGTCGAATCCAAGATTGTATGTTCATAGAATGCGATCGCGCTACAAGGGTTTGACAGATAAGAACGCCTCATTTTTTATGTACTTGTCTGGTTCGTCGGATAACCCTCATTTATGGTGTAGTTGTCTAAATCACTGATATCCACTGCCCGTCATCTCTGATTGTCATGCTGTGTATTCTTGAAAACTTTTTTTATCCATTTCTCTTCCGTAGAAAAGAGATTGGAAGTGTGAACACCAAGATGAGGTAGCAGCATTTTGCACTGTAAAGTTGTGAGTTTGGACTGTCATGTGTGACACTTTTAAAAGGGTAAAAAGCTTCCGATAAAGGAAATGAACATATCTGTAAAAGCCAATTTTGAAAGGTGAAGAGCGAGCAGGGGAGGGAGAGGGTGGAGACAGGAGAGTAGAGTGAGACTTCATTAATCATTATTAGTTTTTTTTTTGTTTTACATATATAATATATTTTGTGAATGCCTAGACTCCAGTAATGTATTAATATAATAAAAAATACCTGTTGTGCATGTGGTCGTTCAATTGGGCCGTTGTCAATTTTGTCATATGATCTGTACTAATAAATAAAATAATGACTATTTTGTTTTGAGAAAATAAGGGAAATTATTGTTAATGAGAAGAACTACCTACCAACAAATTGAAAGAAAACAATTTGAACCCAATGGCAGGGGATCCCAATCCGTTGAATGGATTTGGTAAGATTCTTCTTGTGTCAAGGAATCATTTTGTTGACACCTTCCTTCCTCCCTTCATGATTTATTTAATTAGTTACCCACCGAGCTCTTGGTTTTGTTTTCTTTTGGGAATTAACCAACCGGACAATGAGCTGCAGATTCTTTGATAAGTTGTTGTGGAGAATCAATATTTCATATGCTCTAACCTGACCCATTGCCATCCCTAGTTTGAGACAACTTCCACAGTTTAGCTCATAACTCTTTCATTTGACAAAAGATTATGTAACCGTCTGAGCTCACGCGTTCGTGTTTTCACCCTCTACCATACTCCTTTCGTGCTATATTTTTTTAACGTCATTAATTGACGAGGATGAATGGTTCTTTCAATCATGTCGAATTCATTCTTTGTTTATGCGTCGAACCAGTTTGGTGTAAGATTCAACCCAGATACGGGATGTTACAGTTCTTCTACGAATCCCCCTATCTCTCTCAATGAAAGTACTAGACTCAAGCCAGGATCATGAGAAGCAGTGGAACTAAGACAACCAATTTATGGATAAGGAGACTCACAAAATTTTAACGAGCAAGGACTCTTCGTATCGGGTCCTCTTCCATTTCATTTCATTCGTTGGAACCCCTTTTCGCATTTTCGTTTTATTTTTCTTATTCACACTTTGCTGGTGTTCCAAACAGCGGTTTTATGCGTGGTGTACCCGTATTGGTTGAGCAATTTCTGTACATCTGTCGCTCGCTAGAGTTCTTCTTTTAACTCCTTTTCCTCAACTGGTGTGAAGGGTCATTGTAATTAAGGGGTGTTAGAAGCTCTATTCATTCCCTTAAAAACACATCATCGAGTAGCCAAATCGTCCAATGGGTGGAATTTTTACTTGTACTAGAGACAACTTAGCTTCACCTAGTAGGCCTACCCCAACAAGGATCACTGCCTACTTACAGCCTGTTTGGAAAAGCTAAATTTTGAGGAAATGGAATTCCAATTCCCAAACTTTCCATGATTCTCATGTTTGGAAGTAAAAAGGAAATGGAATTTCAAAAGGTAAAAAGTTGGAAATACTAAATCCTACCAAAATTGGTCGGAATTGGTGGAGGGAGTGATGGAATTAGTGGACCCCACATTAATTTTGACTCACCTTTACAAAAAAGCCCTTACTACTTTTGGATTTGAAATCATTAATACCAAGGATATTATTGTAAAAGCACTTGTAAGAAATCATTTCCATTTTTTCCAAACATAAAAAGATGAAATCATTTCCCAAACTTTTGGATTTGTTCCAAACATAAAATTTTAAAATGAATTCCCACTTGAATTCAGATTCTCGCAAGAAATGGAATTCATTTTCCAACAGAATTATATCCAAACAAGCTGTTAGTGAACACCTATTATTTAGCAGGACTAAGAGAGTGTAGTGATCTCGGTGCAAATGAAACAAAAAGCAAGTAATGGTCTAGTTCTTTTCAGGTTCAAACGGTCATCCAAATATGGTTCCCCCTAGCGTACAACTAGTTCAAGTTATACGGTCCCAAATTACTCAGATTGATAGATAAACCGCGGAAAGTTCTTTATTGGTTGGGCTCTCGAGTAAAGTTATCCAGACCCTCTTGATTCGAATACCTGGCGGGCGAATAACCTCCACCAGAATACACTAACCAAGGTTAAACACACGAAACTTCCACTACTGGCCTTTATTCCAGTACGGAGCAGTGAATCAACTTCTCGACTAAAGCAGTCGATTCACCACTTTCAATTAAAGGTTTCTTTTTTAACCTATGTAGAGACTATCGTTCTAACTTAAAGCTGGAATTACACAGGTTTGATCAGCACTCATGCAATTCTGAATAATTCATCAACTGAATTTACCAAATCAATCATTCATAACGTGGGCTTCATATAATCATTCCTCACATACACAACTAGGGTTCTTCATACCCATATGAAATGAAAAATTACTCCATCGAGAGATGTGAAAACGTCATGCTCGGAGTAGACATCATCAGAATGACAATGGACAACTGCTCGTGGCGGCTAATCGGTACTCCGGGGTTGGGGAATCGAGCTCCGAGGTCTTCAGATCACTCCAATCCTTGCCAAAGGGTTTCTCTATTTCACTCTCTCTCTAGGGTTTGTTATCTGCCTTTAGAACTCAAAAAATCATATCCTTTGCAAATTTCCCGAGCAGCCTTTAAATAGGCTCCGAATCCGCGAGTTACGGCTGAAGTTATGGCCATAACTTGCCTTGGCCGCCCATAATTTGTAGAGGAACGACGTCGTTGTTGCACACCGTAAACCAAGAGTTACGGCTTATTTTGAGGAGTTACGGTCTGGACCTTAACTTGAAGAGGGAGACCGTAACTCCAAAAGCGCTTCTGGAACTTATGTCGACGCTTCCCAGGAGTTATGGGTGCAAAGGTTGAGTTACGGCCTTGATCGTAACTTAGAAGGTCAGCCTGTTACTCTAAGAAGCCTCCTGGAACTCTTCGCTCTCCACTCGCCAGATACGGCTCCTCTAAGGAAGTTACGGGCGAGACCGTAACTTGCTAGGTCTGGCCGTAACTCCCAGGATTGCACTGCCCACTCGATCCAAAATGTCTCAAAACTTCGCTCCTCCGCGCACGTATTAAGTCCCGAAACATCATAAACGAACACAACCTAGCGTAAAATAGGCCACGAGAGCGATAAACCAAGCTTAAACCGTCGAGAAGTGACGGGAAAAACATGTTCGAATATGGCGTTATCGCTTGTCTCCATTATGTCTCCCATGTTTGATACCCTTTATCTCACCACATTTCATATGCTCGTGTTTCTCAAGCATATCGGATTTTCTTAGCTACATTTGATTGTGTATTTTAGCCTACAACTTGTCGACAGGTGGTTCGTTATGCGCACTGGAGAGAGGACATGGCAAGAGAAATTGCGGCTCTTGTAGCTTCCTTCTAGTAAGCCCACCATTGATTTTAAATGGGGTTTTAAGCAAAGTATCAACCGGATGGAGAGGTTGAAAGATTCAAAGCACGGTTGGTTTCCAAAGGCTACACGGAGATTGACGATGTCGATTATCATGACACATTTGCTCTGGTTGCAAAATTGGTAACAATTCGATGTCTGCTTGCAGTTGCAGTCAGTCAGGGATGGTTTATTCATCAACTCGACGTAAACAATGTCTTTCTTCATGGGGATCTTGATGAAGAAGTGTATATGAAAATTCCTCCTGGCTTTGCGTCGGATGGTGAAACCAGGGTGTGTCACCTCCATAAATCTATTTATGGGTTGCGTTAGGCATTTTGGAATCGTTACCAGAAGTTCACCGCTGCCCTCGGTGAACTGGGTTTTCACTCGTCTCCAGCAGACCACACGCTCTTTATTTACCGCAAAGAAGAGGCATTTGGCGTCGAGTTGATTTACGTCGACGAAGTCATCTTGGCAGAAGATAATATGGAATTCATCACCCATTCCAAGCAGCTCCTCAATGAGAAGTTAATTATTAAAGATCTTGGGGTACTTTGTTATTTTCTTGGGTTGGAGGCAGCTCGTTCACCACAACGACTGCCTCTTAGCCAATGCAAGTATGTGCTTGACATCCTTGAAGAAGCTGGCGTCCTTGGTGCATGACCTTGTGCATTTACAGTCGAGGAAAATAACCATCTTACTAGTCCCCACATCCGAGTCGTTGGATAATTTCTAATCTTATCGTTGCTTGGTGGGTGGTCTTATTTAACTCACTGGTTCACGACATGACACATGGGGTCGATATCTTGAGCCGGTTTGTCAATGTTCCTCCTCAAGGTCATATGGATGCCGCAAGCGAATTTTGAGATACTTGAAGAAGTCGCCAGGTCAGGGGCTGTAATTTCCCACCAACAATAATCTTGAGCTTGTTGCGCATTGTGATGCGGATTGGTGTGAGTGTCAAACCACTTATCTGTCAACCAGTGGTTTTTTCATTTCACTTGGCAGTGCTCTTATCTCTTGGTGCACCAAACGACAGAAAATGGTTGTGCGTTCGTCCGTTAAAGCCGAATATATTGTGTTAATGGCTAGTAATGTCAATGAGCTTATTTGGTTGCGCTGGTTACTTCAGGAACTTGGAGTACCTCTGTCTAGACCCACTCCCCTCTACTGCGATAATCAGGCGGCTCTCCATGTTGCAACTAATCTCGTTTTCCACGAGCGTACCAAGAATGTGAAAATGGATCGCTATTTTTGTGCGTGAACATTTTGCCTTAGGTGCCATTCTTCCACTTAAGGTAATTTCTTATCAACAGGTTGTTGATCTCTTTATAAAGGGGCTAGGTGCAGATCGTTTTCGATTTATACTCTTCTAATTGAACGTTCGATACATCCACCGTCCAACTTGAGGGAGCTTTTGGACTGAGAGAGGATTCGACCCATCCCACGAGAGCCTAAGGCAGCATCCAAGCTGGAGAAGCCTGTTGGTGAAGATTGGCCACAGTCCCACGGGGCCATGTGTCTCGAGTCAACAACTACAAGTAGTTTAGGGTTTCCTTATAAAGCCCTACATAGCATGATGTTATATAATGATGTAGGCCATTCGACCATTATAAGTTGTTCATAAGAAATAAAGCTACAACTGGAGAAGTTTCCCTTCTCCCGTGGATTAGTCCTGATCGATTCATTAATCAGGGATACCACGTTAATCTAGTGTGTTGTTTCTTTTGGTTTATACATATTTCTCAATTTCAAATACAAACACTCACATTTGATATTTTCCAAATAATAAATATTTAGAAAGCACACATTACTTTACTAATATACACATAATGGA